TTATTTTACAGTTAAAATATATGTTTATTAAATAAAGTCTAATGTTACAACTAATCATGGATCACTTTAAAAAAAAACTTTAGATTATACGCACGGTTGAAACAAGATATTCACAAAACACAGCTTCTTTGTGAATGATGCCTTAAGTTTGCATCATTAAAAACTTTTTTTGTGCATATCAATTTGAAGTTTAATTTACCTTCAACATATTCCATGACCATGCAGAGATGCCTTCGCGTCTCAAAAGAACAGTACATGGAAACCACAAATGGGTTTTCAGCAAAGGTCAGGATGTCTCTCTCTACAAACACTTGTTGGATTTGGTTCCTAAGAATCAGGTTTTGCCGATTGATCTTCTTCATGGCGAAACGTTGATGCGTTTCCTTGTGTCGTACCAGATACACAGCTCTATATGGGAGAGAAGGCAGTAAACAAAAAAGGAACATTACAACACAATAAAAAGAACTGACAAACAATTCAACAAGGAGAAGGAGAAGAAAGACGGGTTTCACATCCTGATGAACTTCGGTTCAAAGTGCAAACATAAAAATATCCAACACATTGTCATTGCATTTGTTTCTGTAGCCAAACAGAGTCTTACCCATAGGCGCCATTACTAATGAGCTTTATAGTCTCAAAGTCACTCTCCAGAGGTTTCCTGCGAGGGGGGGTGCAGGGTGCTCGGCTCTAAATAAAGCACATTCAGATGAAAAAGGGGAGGTTGAAGACACATWTTAATGGATGTAGCTGCTACATCATGTCCAGGACTCATGAATCTGAGCACTATACAAGTTCTGATCTCACATTACTTCGTTAAAACAATGAACACCTAGCCACCCTGCAGTGTGTGGGAGTGTGTTGAAGGATGAATTTGGTGTAAAAGGGAAAAAAGCCAGAGGAATTACTGTATTTATGCAAGTATAATACAACAAATTTAACCCCTAAAATCATTCATAAAACAAATTTAACCCCTAAAATCACTCATAAAGGGGGTTGTATTATGCATGAGTAAAGTTTCAATGACATTTTTTCCACGTACAACTAAAAAAAGTTTTAGTATTTTCTCATATATAACCAAAATATTGTGTCGCAAGAGATAATTTATTCCTTCTCACTGTATGTTGCCCATTGCAACTATACAAACAGCAGCAGCTGTTTCAATAATTAACATATATACCGTATTTATTCACTTTTAGTATACACAGGAGTAAATTTTAATTGACCTTTTTAATGTACAACCACAATAAGGTTCACTATTTCCTTGCATCTTACTGAATTATCCCCCCTCCCTCCTAATGTACATTGCACATAGTAAAGCATATAACTGTAGCTGCTTATTCACTGGAAGAGCAAAAAATTYTTTTCTTTTTCTTGTTAACTCTGGCAACGCAAAAAAGATTTGGACTTTAGTTGTTTGTGCTGATAAATATAAATACATAAATACAAATAGGAAACAGTTTGTACAAATTAATGATGTAAGGTTTGAACTTTGTAAGATTGTATGTGGGGTTCCACAGGGTTCTGTACTGGGACAAAAGTTGTTTCTTCTATATATTAGTTAGGGTTGGGCAATATTGGCAAAAAAAATAATCACGATTAATTGTGGCGTTTAGCCGATAACGATTAATTTGACAATTAATCCCCTGGAGTCCCTGGACACCCTTATGTCCTAGTCACATGACCAATTTAGTGGGAAAGATTTGCTCTTCATAAAAATCTGTTCCATATTGTGTGAAAATTACAGACTTCAGGCTATACATCAAATTTAAATTGTGTTGATGGATAAATAAATTACAGAACTTTTTAAAAAAAAATTCATCATATTTGAAGCAGAGAGGAGCACCGAGCGGTTAGTCCGCCTGGTGGCATTAATCGTATTAATCGTGAAGTGCCAAAAAATAATCGATTAATATTTTTCTGACGATTAATTGCACACGATACGATTATGCCCAACCCTAATATTAATGACTTGGTAAATGTATCAGGGTTGTTTAAATGTGTCTTATTTGCAGACGACACCACATTTTTTTGCTTGGGTAAGAACATAGAACAGATGTTGGAAATTATAGAAATATAATTCGTAAAAGTACAAAATTGGTTTAAACATAATGAGTTATCATTAAATTTAGATAAAACAAATTACATGACATTTAGTAATAGAAAGAAAACAAGTGATGTTCCATTTAGAGTAGAAGGTGTTGAGATCTGTAGAGTCAGTGAGGTGAAGTTTTTGGTGTCATCACCGACAAAAACCTGACATGGAGACCTCATWTGAATTAAGAACAAAAATGGCAAAATCTATTGCAGTATTGTAAAAAGACAAGGAGTTATTTAATGATCAAGCACTATTTATACTATATTATGCAATAATTCTTCCACATTTGATGTATTGTATAGAAGTCTGGGGAAATGCATGTAAAACCATTACTAATCCTATTTTTATTTTACAAAAAAAGAGCCATAAGAATTATCACAAGAAAGCATTACTATCACCCTTCTAATATATTGTTTCATCAGTTAAAATTATTAAAATGTTATGAGTTGGTTGATTATAACATTCTGCAGGTTATGTTTAAGGCTCATAGAAATGTGTTGCAGTCAAACATCCAATCATATTTTATTAAGAGGGAAAGCTGCTATAATTTGAAGGGATTACAAATGTTTGTTAAACCAAAAATCAGAACAAATCTGAGGGAAAGATGCACTTCAGTGAAAGTTATAAGACTATGGAATAATCTGGAGGATGACTGTAAAAGCATTGGATCAGTGAATTTCTTTAAGAAAACAATAAAAGAAAAATTGTTAAAGAAATATGAAATTGTTTAATTTGTATTAATTACTGTCTGGGGAATTGAATTTTTTGTTTTATTATTTGGTTTATCATTATTTGAAATATTTGCGTTAATTAAAAAGGGGCAGATATAAGATTATTTTTCTTCTTCTGCTGCCTTTCATTTTATTTGTATTGTTTTGTTGTGTGAAATGTTTTGTATGTGTTTTAAGGAAATAATGAAATGAATAAATCAATCTTAATAATTTATATAATAATTTCTGCTCTGGCCTGGGAGCAGATTGTTTTTTCAGTGACGGACTGATTGGGAAACTCCCGCTGCACTCRTTCTGCATCAGAACACACCTACACAAGTGTGTCTTCCTAAATAACGTTTCGCCATCAGAGGGAGCACCACAAAGGCTGAGAAATCCTGAAGTCCGTCTGAAATGAGTGGCTCATATCATGAGGTTAGATTTTTTATGCTTTTTAGGCTCAAAAAATGATGATCATTTTATTCTCAATTGTAGTATACATGAATAAATACAGTAACCAAACTGTTGTGTCGCAGTGGATAAATAACTTCTCCCTCTTGTTGTATGTCYCCCATAGCAAAGCATGTAAACAGTGGTTGTTTACCCAGATAGCAAAAMATGTTAATTCAATGTTAAATTATGGTCAAAAACAGTTGATTTTGGTTAAGGCTGACGATTGATGGTGAATCAATCATTAAACACTCAACTCTAGTAAAATAACCAATGTTGAAATGATGTTGAATCAATGTTTCATGGTCAAATCCTAATGACTGAAATGATGACATCTTATCAATTTTGAATCAACACTAATATGTATCAGTTATTGTTGAAAACCTAATGTTGTTTCAACAAGTATGTCACRGACCACTGTTTGTATCATTTCAYCATGGATTCAGTGTCATGTCGGACCATATTTCAGCGTCGATTCACACACAGGAGGAAAAACTGGTTTTCTTTACTTTAAACTTTATTTGTCCTCATGAGGAAATTGATTTGTGGTAAAATTATTACAAGTGTATCCCAGCCTTACACAATCATTCATCTACAACACAAAGTAAATCACACATATGTACATAACAGGGGTTCAGCTTGTGGAACAAATGAGAATTTTGATCAACTTTTAGTAAAAYGAAGTAGAGAGAATGGTCACCCAGATGGGAGAGGTCAGTGTTTAAGGGGAGTGCTTTTGTCAATCATAATTTTGTTTGCCTTGTTGATTATGTGCTCCTTGTAAATTCTCTCCATACTTGGTTCTGCAACTCTTAACYATTTACTTGCTGTTGTCACTGTTTTATTGAAGGCATTCTTCTGAGCCACAGAAACATTTCCAAACCAGCAAATGATACAGAAAGATAAAACACTTTCAATAAAAGCACAATAAACATTTTATTTGATTATTTATTTTTGCAGGGACAGTACAACAAAGCATTATAAAGTTGAGCAATCATTGTCGTTAAAATATATKTTTTTAAAGTATGGGAAAAGTACCACTTGTGACAATACACAAAAGTATTTAATGGTTAAATAAATGTATTTATTTATTCTCATTAGAAAAAAAATTAAAAGCACATCCCTGTTTTGCCCATGTGGATTTATTATTTCTTAAATGCAATTTTAAATTCCTTTAAAGTCTTGACTTATTGAGCCTGTGTTTGATGTAAGCACATACCTGTACAGGTGTTGCCTCCCTCGAGTCATCAGACTCGATGCTGGCTGCTCTCTGACCTGGACTCGTCGACTCTAGATTGACCATGTCTGTAAAAGTAGAGAAGACACTGCGCTATGACAAGCTTCGTTCATTTAAAATTTTTAGCACCAAAGATGATAATGTTTATATTCAGCTGTAATAATCCCTAAAAATGTTTGATTAAATTCAATCAGACAAGCTTATATCTGTGTGTTAAACTTTAAATACAGTTCATGGTTGAATTTAGTAGTGAGTTGGTGATAATGTTTCTGCCCTGCACTACAATTTACAACCTGTAGGGGCACCAGATCAGATTTATTAATCAATATTTARTCACCCTTTTTAATCAGACTCATATTTACCAAAGTGTCAGATCGTATGATATGCAGTGAATTCCTACCTCAGGCCAAAGTACTCAACGATGAGGAACCAGCTTTGTCTTTTATGGTAATAAATTACAAAATTATAGTAAGAATCAATTTCATTGAATCATGAATAAAAACAGTAAAAATAACAACATGAAAGACGAAGAACTAAGGTTTTCCAGTTAAAGGTGAAAATTATTGTAGACTAGATGTTAAATGTCTAAGACGTTAAGACAAGGTCTGGATGTTTAAACTTTTATAGAATGAAAATATATTTTTCCCAAAGGATTTTTTTCTATTAATTAATTCAAGATTCAAAGTGTTTATTGTCATATGCACAGACGAAAACATGTTTCCC